GAGCTGTCCCCGACATCAGTAGAACTTGGTCGAATACAATAAAATCAGTGGATTTCTAGTTAGTTAGTTATACATTGAAACCCATCTAAACCAAATAGGACTGGCACAAAAGTATGGGGTTAATATGTACAGGGTCTGTGTTTTACAGAGTCTGTGATGTTGGATGTCAACATTTTGAATATACAGTGCAATCTGTCTAAACTGAACTCTGTTATAAGATCGCAGTCACTACAATTTAGACAAATTTTAACTCATCCACCCTTGAAGACACATTTGAACTCCTCCAATTCAAAGGTTAAAATAGTTCATTATGAAATTTCAGGGGTGAATGAGTTAATGTTCCAGTTGTGTTGGCTTGGACAGATAACACTGGATATATTTATATAAATTAATATAATTTGAAAGGAAGCAATAATAAAAAATAGAAAATAAGAAAATAATCATTTTAAAGGTTAATTGTATGCACTAAATTAAAGTAAAACTCTACATATTAAGTATTTTATGTCCAGCAAAAAAACTAAAAAGTTTTTGCAGGGATAGCAAACCAAAGAAATATTTTGAGCCGAGACTAAACAGAGTGTTTTGTCAATAATTCTAAGTAGGATTGGTAAAAACATCACCAGTGTCCGGAGTAGACAGGGTCAGTGTCATGTATAGGATCTGGATTAGACAGGGACCAGGTTATACAGAATATATTGTATTTAATAAGAAATATAGATTTGTAAGGTAATGCATATGTACTCTTAGCTAAATCAGGTCAGGACAATTTAATGACAAGTCAAATAGGGGTCATTAAGGTATAAAAAAAAAAAAATGAAAAACGCATATTTATTTGTAAGGTCATGATTGGATAGCCAATTAATTTTGATTGGATTGTTAATACTATTATACTGAACTGGACTCCAAGATACAAGTCTTGACTTTGTGATACTTAATTGGACACCAGGATACAAATCTTGACTTTGTGATACTTAACTGGGCACCAGGATACCAATCCTGACTTTGTGATACTTAACTGGACACCAGGATACAAATCTTGACTTAGTGATACTAAACTTGACCCCAAGATACAAATCTTGACTTTGTGATACTGAACTGGACTTCAATATACAAATCTTGACTTTGTGATACTTAATTGGACACCAGGATACAAATCTTGACTTTGTGATACTTAACTGGGCACCAGGATGCAAATCTTGACTTTGTGATACTTAACTGGGCACCAGGATACTAATCTTGACTTTGGGATACTAAACTTGTCTCCAGGATACAAATCTTGACTTTGTGAAACTAGACTGGACTCCATGATACTAATCTTGACATAATGATACTAGACTGGACACCATGATACTAAACTTGACTCCATGACATAAATTGGACTCCAGGATACTAATCTTGACATTATGATACTAGACTGGACACCATGATACTAAACTTGACATTATGATACTAGACTGGACACCATGATAATAAACTTGACTCCATGACATAAATTGGACTCCAGGATACTAATCTTGATATTATGATACTAGACTGGACACCACGATAATAATATTGACTCTGTGATACTAGCCTGGACACCATGATACTAATCTTGACATTATGATACTAGACTGGACTCCATGATAATAATCTTGACTCTGTGATACTAGCCTGGACACCAAGATAATAATCTTGACATTATGATACTAGACTGGACACCATGATAATAATATTGCCTCTGTGATACTAGCCTGGACACCAGGATAATAATCTTGACATTATGAGACTAGACTGGACACTATGATAATAATCTTGACTCTGTGATACTAGCCTGGACACCAGGATAATAATCTTGACATTATGATACTAGACTGGACACCATGATAATAATATTGACTCTGTGATACCAGCCTGGACACCAGGATACTTAAGTCTTGACATTATGATACTAAACTTGACTCCATGATACTAAACTTGACTATGTGATCCTGAACTGGACTCCAGGATACTATACTGGACTCTGTGATACTAGACTGGACACCATGATACTAATCTGGACTCTGTTATACTTAACTGACTAGACTGGACACCATGATACTAATCTTGACTCTGTAATACTTAACTGACTAGACTGGACACCATGATACTAATCTGGACTCTGTAATACTTAACTGGACTCCATGATACTAATTTCAACTCTGTGATACTAAACAGGACTATAGGATACTAATCTTGACTCTATGGTACTATACATGACACCAGGATGTTGACAGCATATTTATGCATGTATTTTAGTTCCTTGATTCAACTGGGATTTAAGGATGAGCTAGATCACTGGACATTTTATTAGGTTGTGGAAAGTTCTTTTTTATAATTGGCTGTCAGAACAGTAACATGGATTCAAAGTTGTAATGTGTTTAAATTTTGTGATAAAACTTCAATAAATTGTAAAATAAAAACAAAATAAGGTCTTAAGTTTGTGTTAAGACCAGAAATTGGGCCCACACGATGTTGGATGGAGTTTTTATCCATAATGGGTTATGGACCTTCGCAGACATCCATTTTCAACTTCCATCACATAATATTCATTGTATGACTTGTGTACGTCGGCCGTCTTCCTGACATACGTAGACATGGCGCCAGGCTTAATCGGCCAGACATGGGCATTGTCCTTATTTTTGTTTTAATTCATAATATAGAACCCATCAAAATAAGATACCACCTGTAGCTGAGTACCCACAAAGACAGGGTTCCATGATGAAAAGTTTCAGTTGAGCCCCATTGCACTTGATTTAAAGCCATTTCTTACTCTATTGAAATGGCTTTGAATAATTGGTTGGATATATATATACATTATTAGAAAAAAAAATGATGTACAACGTAGTTTTATTTGTTATGAAGGTCAGATCTTTAGATTTATTGCCACTATAAATGGTTCGAATTAAACTGATCCGTGTGTATACAAAGTCATGATGGCTAATTAATCCTGATAGGGCCCGATAGCGTGATCCAACCCAGGTGTCCATTCTCTAGATCATCCCTATGTTTCTACCTGACGTTAAAGCCCTCCTTACTCAGGGTGCCGTCTGCTGACCCGTGACTCGAGCTGAAGGTGGAATCAGAATGGTTTCATACCTGACTGGAAGTATTGTTCAAGTTTTGTCTGTCTGTGGTAATCCTGGACAAAATTGGCGGATAAAATGTCTGTTTCAAATTTCAGGCAATGAATAGAATAAGAAAACGGAAGACTTGGTCTTTTTTACGCCGGGTGAACCATGAACGCTTCTGTTAGTTCAATTGGCTGGTCAGAGGGGTAAAACATTGTCAAAATTTACACGGAACCTGCTCACCATTGTTATCTTGATGTGGTATTGTCTATAAAGGGTGTTGCAGTTTTTAAGGCCTTTGATGAAATCTAGTAGAAAGTTTTTCCGCACTTGTTTTCCAGGTGCCTGTGTAAAGGTTATGTGAGAATATTTAACGATGTTAAAAAGCTAAAAAAAAATCAACAGATAGGAATCGAGCACGATTCGCATGGCAACAAGCTCAGGTATTGTATTGCAGGTCCATCAGCTCATTCATAATGCAAAGCGGCCAAGCTCTGCACTTTTTTGCATAAACTCATTATTTCCTCTAATGCAAAATTATTGGATTTGTTCCATATTCGCCTGATTAGGTGAACAAAATCTAATCGGCCAGCCATCAGGTTTTCAATAGGTGTTGTGGGTAATTTATGTCGGAGTACAAGCGTTTCATCTTTTGTTGTTTTAAATGCACCTACCCTAATGGTTTCCTTGCTTTCTGCTCAGCAGTTGAATTTTTAATTAAAGAGCTAGTCAACAATACCCCAAACAAATGGATTATTTTTATTTTGTCATTAGGCTTAAATACGAGCTATCATAAACATCGGTTCAACCGTTTTGTTTCATTCTTGTATAATTGCGTTTCCCTCAACTTGTCCAAAGTCCATTCTTAACCATGCATAATTAATCATTTGATTCATCGATAGATTAATTCATATAGACTGCTGTAGACCCCTTTTGACTTGACGTCCGCTCAATATACCTCTGTTGCCCCTCTACATGAATGATACTAATGAATGGCCGTCTGCTTGTTTCTGAGAGAGCAACTTGTTATGTGTATAACTGTCATTGGATGGAAAATAATCGAACTCGACACAAAAACACAACTGGATCTTATATCAAATTTTAGGAATAAATAATTCAATAACTGCCTATAAAATTAAAAAATTTAACTACCTGTTTTTCAGTTGATGTTCCTTCTTTTCCAATAATTTATAAGAGTATTCTACTGTGGTTGATTTTACACCTCAAAGAAATACAAGCTTGTAATTCACGACCCTGTTTACAACCCATGAAAGGGCTGAAACTGAGGTCAATTCTTGAAAAGTACTGAAAAATAGTTGTATCCTGGAAGAGCTTTGAAATATATTTTTCCGACAACCACTATAAGTTTTCTTGCTCTTGAATCATTCCATAAACCTGCTAAAAGTTTGTGTCCATTTTTCATAACTCACTAGTGGGTGACAGCTGATAGACATTATTTCATTGGTCAATCTTTTAACTATGACACCATGTAACAATGTTTTACACGGTCATCTTCAATTTTGACCTGATGATTTATAGCAATAGTTTCAGAAATAGTGCTTTTCCAATAAAACATGGGTTTCTAGATATGATATTAAGTTTGTGGTAGAAAATGGTCCCCAAACTCCTGATGTCTTGTTATCATGTGTATCTAACAGTCATTAATTGATTTTGAAATTGTAAAAGACACTTGGTACACCTCTGAGTATTGATATACTAAATAGGTATCTTCCCGTTTCATCACATTTAATCACACAAGGTACCAACGAGCTGATTAGTTATTACAGTTATTTTCGTTTGACAACCTGTTGATGCCCAATAAATCATAATTGTACAGGTGAATTATTATTTACTTTTGATATCACACTTTACTACATGAGATTGCCTACATGTAATTTTGTATGCTGCCAGATGTGTCGAGATTGAGGCCACCTTTCCAATGGAGTCTCTCCTCACGGTGCAGGTCTACGACTGGGACCTTGTCGGCATGGATGACCTAATTGGGGAGACGCAGCTCGACCTGGAGAACCGGTACTACAGTCGTCATCGAGGGACATGTGGGTTCACTGCCAAGTATGATGTGTAAGTGTCGCTAGGTTACCCTTACTTTGACCTTTAGAAATTAACGGAGCTTAAATTTCAAATGCTCGAACTACATTCCGATATTGTTTCTGTTCTGGATTGATGTGTAATGACCATTAAAAGTTCTCTTCCAGGCTTGTTGGATTTTATACCTGTGTAAACTTAAATATGGTGTAAATAAAAAAAACATCACAATAAACATTGACGACGAGACAATCAAATACAAAATCACAAGTTTTCCGTGTGAAATAAAAATAAAAATTTCTAATGCTGCTAAATATTTTTTACAAATGTAAATAATTTGATTGTAAGAGCGTAAGAAAGGTCAATTAAGAGCAAAGGACAAGTTCAGTAGTGAATATCTTATTTAACCAAGGTCAATGTCATTCTTGTGATTCTTCAAAGGTCAAGGTAACTAAAATCATCAATAAAGGTCAACATTGCTTATTATTATCCTTGTGATTTTATAAGGTCAATGTCAATATTAAGCATGTAAGGTCAAGGAGATTGCATTATCCCTCTTGATATGATAACGAAATCCATTACTAGTGAAGTATGAAGATTTGATCTGGGAGATGACTGAACCTGGTGTAGATATTTTGGGGAGATGAAACTGATACGAAGATTGTTCTGGGAGTGCGTGGCTGTGTGTTACGTAATGGGACGAGTAATTAATGAGCATTGTGATTGGTTAGTGCAGACAATGAGTCGAATCCAACTGTGGACTTGTCCCATGGAGCCATGCATACAGATATAGTTACAGCCAATGGATGGGCCCTCTTATTGGAGCGGCTGACTAAAACACAAGCACTTTGGCTAATAAATGACCCAGTCTATTGCTTTAAAACAACATGGAGAAGACCCAGTGATGAATGGCCATTGCGAGGATTACACAGACTTGGACAAAGTACCGTGTCCAAACACATTTATCATTACCAAAGTTCGTTGTAATGAAGGAAATCTCTCTGGGGCAATATGTGGTACAAGCCGAACAAATTATTGAAAAATATTGAAAATATGACATATTGAATAAATTTTCTTAATGACGTGAGAAATGATTTTTCCTTTCCATTTTTCATCTTCATGTGTTGGGAAATGATGCAATTTGTTTCTGGGGTGATTACTATGACAGAATTATTGGTATTTAACATTGTCTTGGCTTTAGAATAAATGTGCCCAGGGGATCTCGGACTGAAATCACAAACTACACTGTGAACTTCATCGGGGCTTCATTTGCGACATGCTGGAAAACGTTTTCTGTAGTAGAATTTTCATCCTTTCGACACGTACTGCAGCATATCATTGTTTGTAAGACGGTTAATATGGCAGGGAAAACAAAGGATTAACATTAGACATAACATAGATTATTGGTTAGTGAACTTGAAATACTATTATATTAGAAAATAAAAATTATTTGTAAGTTTGGCTGGATGGTTGGGGTAGTATTTGCGACATGTAACAGACCTGGTTTATAGGTGATTTGGTTTATTTTGATGATATCCTGGTCATTGCTCAAGAGAGTTTCTTATTTGGTATACATTGATGGATGGTCGAGTTGGTGGATTGGTATGTGGATTAAAGGTTGAACTGTAGATGGCTGTATAGGTGGATGACAGTTGAAGGTTGTGAGGGCTGATGCCTTTTTAGATTAGTGACAGTGTAGGCTGATGCCTTTTTAGATTAGTGACAGTGTGGGCTGATGCCTTTTTAGATTAGTGACAGTGTGGGTTGATGCCTTTTTAGATGAGTGACAGTTTGGGCTGATGGCTTTTTAGATTAGTGACAGTGTGGGTTGATGCCTTTTTAGATTAGTGACTGTTTGGGCTGATGGCCTTGTTAGATTAGTGACAGTGTGGGCTGATGCCTTTTTAGATTAGTGACAGTGTGGGTTGATAGCTTTTTAGATTAGTGACAGTGTGGGCTGATGTCTTTTTAGATTAGTGACAGTGTGGGCTGATGGCTTTTTAGATTAGTGACAGTGAGGGCTGATGGCCTTGTTAGATTAGTGACAGTGTGGGCTGATGTCTTTTTAGATTAGTGACAGTGTGGGCTGATGGCTTTTTAGATAAGTGACAGTGTGGGCTGATGCCTTTTTAGATTAGTGACGTGTGGGCTGATGCCTTTTTAGATTAGTGACAGTGTGGGTTGATAGCTTTTTAGATTAGTGACAGTGTGGGCTGATGGCTTTTTAGACTAGTGACAGTGGGGGCTGATGGCTTTTTAGATTAGTGACAGTGTGGGCTGATGGCTTTTTAGATTAGTGACAGTGTGGGCTGATGGCTTTTTAGATTAGTGACAGTGTGGGCTGATGGCTTTTTAGATTAGTGACAGTGTGGGCTGGGGCCTTTTTAGATTAGTGACAGTGTGGGTTGATGCCTTTTTAGATTAGTGACAGTGTCTTTTTAGATTAGTGACACTGTGGGCTGATGGCTGTGAGGGTGGAATGTGGTGTACGATGATTGCTGTGTGGGTTGTTGGTTATGTGGGTGGATAGTTATGTAGGCTGATGGTTATGTGGGTGGATAGTTATGTAGGCTGATGGTTATGTGGGTTGATGGTTATGTGGGGGGATAGGTATGTAGGGTGATAGTATATGTAGGCTGATAGTTATGTGGGGTGATGGTTATGTGGGTGGATAGTTATGTAGACTGATAGTTATGTAGGCTGATGGTTATGTGGGTTGATGGTTATGTGGGTGGATAGTTATGTAGGCTGATAGTATATGTAGGCTGATAGTTATGTGGGTTGATGGTTATGTGGGTGGATAGTTATGTAGACTGATAGTTATGTAGGCTGATGGTTATGTGGGTGGATGAATTTGAGGGTTGTGTGGTTAGATGGTTGTGTTGATGGTTATGTGGGTGGATGAATTTGAGGGTTGTGTGGTTAGATGGTTGTGTTGATGGACAGCTATGAGGGTGGATGGACGTGAGTGAATGGCTGTATTGGTGGATGGCTGTGTGGGTCGATGGGATTGAGAGTGGATGGATGTGTGGGTGGATGGTTATGTGGGTGGATAGCTGTGTGGATGGATGGTCATGTAGGTGGATGGATGTGTGGGTCGATGGATTTGAGGGTTGGTGGTTGTGGGGGTGGATGGTTGTGTGGGTGGATGGTTATGTGGGTGGTTGACTGTTTGGGTTGATGTGTGAGTCGATGGATTTGAGGACGGGTGGTTGTATGGGTGAATGGTTATGTGGGTGGTTGACTGTTTGGGCTGATGTGTGAGTCGATGGATTTGAGGGCGGGTGGTTGTATGGGTGGATGGTTATGTGGGTGGTTGACTGTTTGGGTTGATTTGAGGGTGGTTGGTTGTGAGGGTGGATGGTTATGTGGGTGGATGGTTATGAGGGTGGATGGTTATGTGGGTGGATGGTTATGTGGGTGGATGGTTGTGAGGGTGGATGGTTATGTGGGTGGATGGTTATGAGGGTGGATGGCTCTGTCAGTGGGTGGTTATGTTGATAGGGTGGTAGACAGTTTAGATATCTATTTGCACCCACAGGAGGAGTTGACTGGGAGGGAGATGTGATTTATGGATTATCTCCCCGTCTTATCCTCACCACATGGCTGTGATATGGTGGGGTGTGGTGTTGTGTGATAAATACACATCTGTCCTATATAATGACCTCCTCCATTACAACTGGCCCCACCCCCTCCCCTAACAGTGATGAAAGTCACTAATTGGAGGTCGTGTCCCCACAGATAACGTCACTGTGGTGCACCAGGCTATTTACTTTAACCCAACTTTTAACACTTGTGTAATGTTGGCAATTAAACTCATTGTGGTAAACAGAAAGATTCTCATTTTTGTCCCGTGAATGTAAATAATTTCTTAGTAAAATAAAGAAAGGTATTCTTATCATGTCAAAATGTACAACATATATGATAGTCATTATGCAGGGGCGACTAACGATTACTTATGTACTGCGAGGAGTTAGTCACCATATATTTCCATGCAATAATATGACTACCCAAAATCTAATCGCATTTGTATAGATAAAAATGTGTTTTCGTAGGGTAGGGGAGTTCTTCACAAACGTTACATTTTAGAGAAAACTTTGACATGAATAAAATTGGGAAATGGAAATTAAAAAAAAAATAAAATTACTGATTTTAGTTGAATTTTTATAGCAGCAAGATTTCAGCTCATCAATCTTTTTGCAAAAATATTTTATGAAATATAATCAGCATAGTTTCTTTCTGAGCTCTTTCCAGAATACTCAAATGCCCAGACTAGTTTGATTCCATTGTCTGATAATTAACGATTTAAAATCTTAAAGAAGACACAAAAATACATGATAGGTTATGATTAATGTATCGGGGTGGTCAAATACAGATCTGTTATATTAGAGATGACCAGCCAAGTCTGATTGTCCACGCTGCGTTTTTACCCTGTGGTCATTGTGGCGGTCAGTTGGTAACACTAGGACCTGATGGACAGGAAATATTTCTCTAATTTGATCTTGTTTCTGAACAAATGACCATAGCTAAGATATCAGACCATAGAGCAACATTAATTTCCTGTTCTATCACTGTTTGTTCAGGCCGTGATATTTGTACGTTTTGTTCTCCGCAGACAAGGGTACAACATGTGGCGAGACCCGATGAAGCCGACGCAGATTCTGGCCAAACTCTGTAAAGAGGGCAAGGTGGACGGTCCGCATTACCAGCCCGGTAAAGTCCGCATCGCCAACCGTATCTTCACTGCGTCCATGGACCAAGACTTTGACAATGGTAAAAACTCATGTTACCGAAAAAATGGCTTCAGATTTTAGAAATAAACAAAGTTTTTAAAAAAAAAATAGCTACAAAAAAAAGAAGAGATTTTTCAACTAAAATATGATATGATTTAAATTAAATTTCACAAATGATTTAAATATGAAAGAAAATATGCAAGAAAATAATTCTTAAAGAACAGTTTCCTTTTCAACAGCTCACAATAGCTAAGGTCATACAGATGGTTTTCTCTATTCAATATGTCGATTTGTTGAATTGTGGCGAGTTGATGATGTGGTTTGTGCCTATTTTCTGTAAATGTCAAAAGATAAAGGTTTGGTTGTTCATTTATCCAATAATACTGATGATAATGTAGCATTTGAATATGTTTAAATGGTTCATCATCTGGTCAGAAATATCATCTAATACAGATATCTTCAGCTCTGATCAGGATGAGCACTGACTGATTAAAATGAGTAATCCAAAACATCAGGTTCTACTCGGGTTCTTCTCAGGTTCTCTAGTGGGGTACCCTGGCCAGGCCAGCCAGACCAGTGTCGGTGGTAATAAGGACCGTGTCACTCTGCCACCAGGGAACACCTCAAACATTGTAGGCCAGCTTTAAATTGGTAATCGGAGGCCTCTAGCATTCGTACATACCCACCCTGTAGACATCTGACATTTCTTACCCACTACCATGACATAATAGAAGGCCGGTAATGATCCTGCCACCTGAGACAAACTCTAGTGTATACGCAACTAATTCACAATCACTATTTGACAATTCCGATGAATAAATATGATTACGAAGATTAGATAATTAGGTCAGCATGTCTGCTTTTCTCATTGGACCAAACCGCTACATTATTTGGCTGTGTTTGAATGTACTGAATAACAAGTGAAATTTCAGGCCTCTACAGGTTTTAATTCCAGATACTAAAAATTCATTTTCTCCATTTAAAGTAAAATTTCCATTCTGGCATGTAATTAGAGAAAATTAAATTGGTGTTCTTTTCTGTTGTGTGTTTATTGGGATTTCAACAGAATCAGATAAAAAAAATATTGTAAGAATAACGGTGTGTAAATAGACAATGATTATAAACCAATAGGATCACATCGTAGATAATAAACATTATGATACTGACAGATGTCGGAATAGTTCCTGTCAGTCTGTGGTAAACTTACGGAAACATTTTATAGAAATTCATTATGTGAAAATGTTTCTGTTAATCTGAACACAAATAAATCTGATTTTTCTTTTGCCAAATGATATTCTAAATTAAAGCAGTACATGGACTTGTAAATGGTCATCCCCATTTTATTTATCAGGAACATTTGTCATTCTGGAATTGATTTTTGGGGAAATGATGGAAGTTTTAGGATAGATGATTTTTTTTCTCCTCTTTTCTACTGTATGTTTGTAATGAGAAATCCTCCATAAACATAGATTGCTCCATTCCTCGACATATTTTAAGAAGGTGAGTGTCAAAATAGAATCAAAACTGAAACTGTTTCAAATATATCTGTATAATTAAAATTTGAAATTATGATAATTCAGTAAATCTTTTTATTTATAATCTTATTGTCAAGAGGTTGTATCTGTTTCAACATCAGTTTTCTTTCCATGAAATGCTGGAAGCTGTACAGAATATTGGCACAGGCATATACAGCTAAACATTGGTGATACCTGGCTTCTGCTGGTCTGAGAATACTTGTCAATCATCTTGCCAATTTAAAGACTAGTAATTTTTCCCCATTTCCCCATCCTTCTGTTTCTCCTCCAACCCATTGTAACACATCCAGACTGCCCCCCNCTGTTTTGCTGGCCATACTTGACTGATAGGTGTTAATTGGATATTAGAGTAAGTAGGTAGTCCAGACATTTTGTTTTATGACTGACCTTTGACACTGAATGCATGATTTAGTGCAATGTCTGACCCTGAAAGGTCACATATGAAATTTCAATATTTATCATATCATCCTGTTTGTGTGTGTTTCTATAGCTACAAGAGTTTGTATGCCTTATCTGTTGTACACCAATAAAAAAACGTAAAAAATACCTACTGTGTTCTGGATAAAACAATGTTAACTTTAGTTGTGTGTTAGCAAGTTTAATTGAATTTACATGGTTTTGAATCAAGCTGAAGTAAGATACAGGGTTCATTCCCTTTGGTACTTAATTTTTGGATATTATTAGAGCTGAATATTTATGACTATTTTCTCCCATCCAAATCTATGAGACTACTTGAATTTACGAGTGTTTTTATTAATAATGCTATGTGATATAGCTGGGAGCTCTAAGTCATAACCCTGTCCATGTAATAACTATGTAAATGTGATCCTGTTGGAAATGTACTGCTCTAATTGGCCTTAATGGTGGTTGTAATTGTGACTTAATTCCAGCTGGGGTTGAGGCTTATCTGAAGTCCTAGATCTGTTAAAACACTAAGATAAGGTCAAGGGGGTGGTGTTTGTAGTCTACTTATACCCTGACGGTATTTTGGCTGACAAGGTTCCTGTTTCTCCCTGACTTATACTAACACCCATCAACTCCAAAAGCCTGAGCAGCTTTATAGGAAATCAGAAACGAGGTTTGATTTGAAAATTTTCTTTAAATAATTATTATATTTCTGATTATGAGTACACTTGTGTGGATTTAGAATGGTCCTTTGAAGACAAGAATTAAAATTATGTGTCATATTTTGAAATGTTCAATTTTTTTTCCAATTTGAGGTAGCTTAAAGCCAATGGAGTGGTGTTTGATGATGGTGTGAGATTGAACCATCTGTTGTTAGTAACATGGATATGTCTGTTTGATTAGGACTATTACTTAGATAAGTCTCCTCAGCAGTTACAGCCTGTGTGTTTATTGTAGTTATCACAGCCCACAGATCCAAGTTATATAATAAACAGTTTCCCCTCACAGATAGGTACTGCTGAAAGGATTGTTGTCCTTTGGGGATTGGGGAAGGGTAGGGAGTCTGTGTTGGCTACTTTTGAGATACATTAAGGAATGATTTGGAAGCCTTTGTTGGCTGATATTGAGATTCAGAATGAGACATGGAAATCAAGTGTTGGCTAATTTTTAGATTTAGGGAGAAATGTTGGGGCCTGTTGGCTATTTTTGAAATTATGGTTATCTATCTAGTTGTGGCTATTTTTATGATTTATGAAGGGATTTGAGTATTCTATGTTGCCTATTTTAGAGATTAAGGGAGTGATTTGAGATTTCTATGTTGGATATTTTAGAGATTAAGGGAGTGATTTCAGATTTCTATGTTGCCTATTTTAGAGATTAAGGGAGTGATTTGAGATTTCTGTGTTGGCTATTTAAGAGATTAAGGGAGTGATTTCAGATTTCTGTGTTGGCTATTAAAGAGATTAAGGGAGTGATTTCAGATTTCTATGTTAGCTATTTTAGAGATTGAGGGAATGATTTCAGATTTCTGTTGGCTATCTTAGAGATTGAGGGAATGATTTCAGATTTCTGTGTTGGCTATCTTAGAGATTGAGGAAATGATTTCAGATTTCTGTGTTGGCTATCTTAGAGATTGGGGAATGATTTCAGATTTCTGTGTTGCCTATTTAAGAGATTAACGGAGTGATTTCAGATTTCTATGTTGGCTATTTAAGAGATTAAGGGAGTGATTTCAGATTTCTATGTTAGCTATTTTAGAGATTGAGGGAATGATTTCAGATTTCTGTGTTGGCTATCTTAGAGATTGAGGAAATGATTTCAGATTTCTCTGTTACCTATTTAAGAGATTAAGGGAGTGATTTCAGATTTCTGTGTTGGCTATTTAAGAGATTGAGGGAGTGATTTCAGATTTCTGTGTTAGCTATTTTAGAGATTGAGGGAATTATTTGAGATTTCTAAGTTACCTATTTTAGAGATTAAGGGAATAATTTCAGATTTCTGTATTGGCTCTTTAAGAGATTGAGGGAGTGATTTCAGATTTCTATGTTGGCTATTTTAGAGATTAAGGGAGTGGTTTTAGATTTCTAAGTTGCCTATTTTAGAGATTGAGGAAGTGATTTGAGATTTCTGTGTTGCTAATTTTAGAGATTAAGGGAATGATTTGAGATTTCTAAGTTGCCAATTTTAGAGATTGAGGGAGTGATTTGAGATTTCTAAGTTGCCTATTTAAGAGATTAATGTAGTGATTTGAGATTTCTATGTTAGCTTTTTTAGAGATTGTGGGAATGATTTGAGATTTCTAAGTTGCCTTTTTTAGAGATTAAGGGAATTATTTGAGATTTCTAAGTTGCCTATTTTAGAGATTGAGGGAGTGATTTCAGATTTCTATGTTAGCTCTTTTAGAGATTGAGGGAGTGATTTCAGATTTCTGTATTGGCTATTTTAGAGATTAAGGGAGTGATTTCAGATTTCTATGTTGGCTATTTAAGAGATTAAGGTAGTGATTTGAGATTGCTATGTTAGCTTTTTTAGAGATTGAGGGAATGATTTGAGATTTCTAAGTTGCCTATCTTATAGATTGAGGGAGTGATTTGAGATTTCTAAGTTGCCAATTTTAAAGATTGAGGGAATGATTTGAGATTTCCAAGTTGCCTATTTTAGAGATTGAGGGAGTGATTTGAGATTTCTATGTTAGCTATTTTAGAGATTGATGGGGTGGTTTCAGATTCCTATGTTAGCTATTTTAGAGATTGAGGGAATGATTTGAGATTTCTAAGTTGGCTATCTTAGAGATTGAGGGAATGATTTGAGATTTCCGAAGTTGCCTATCTTAGAGATTGTGGGAGTGATTTGAGATTTCTAAGTTGGCTATTTTTGGGATTGAGGGAGTGATTAAAGTTGTCTCTGTTGGTGTTTTTGAAATTGAGGTTGGTGTTGGTTATTTAAGAAATTGAGGGTAGTGATGTGGTAAACTGCTGACTACCTTTGAGATTGACAGCAACTATAGGTTGGCTACACAGGGTGACATTTTGATATGGATGAAGGGATAGCAAGGGATAGCAAGGCTGTTGGCCACAGGTAAATTAGATGGGAGATTCTTGATAGAATCAATCAAATTAATTGTAGGAGAGCTGTTTTTATGACCTAGCCTGCAATGGTGGAGACCTTGAATAATGACAATTAATTCTGGGATATTTGAAAAAAGTCAGATGCCATAACTTTTTAGATAGGAACAAAAGCTGTCTGATGATTTAAGGGGCTAATAAACGTAGCACAGATAGTGAAATTAGCATTAGAAAGAAAAGTTGTATAAATTTAAGAAACTCAAGACCATAGCATTTCAGGTTTTACAGGCATTTTATTATTTATGATTTAAACTGAAAAGAAAATTCATTAATTGTTCTTATGAACAGACCTTGCCTGTTTTTAACAATAAAGAAACAAGGTTATAATAAACAAATCTGCTTGCTATAACATTTAGATATGGGAGAGGAACTGATGTGACAATTACTATAGGATGGAGGTATCAGATGGGATACATATGGTGTACTTCATGAGACACCAACTACAGTCAGGTATCGATGAGGTACCATACATATCTGTATCCGGGGATATCCATGAATCCCACGCTTTGAGTTAAAACATTGTTTTGTTCAGTTTTTGTTTTTGTTTTTGTTTATTTGCTCCAGATTGTATCAGAGAGGTTCTGATGGGGTGTTTTCTAAGATACCTGCTCCAGATTGTATCAGAGAGGTTCTGATGGGATGTTCTCTAAGATACCTGCTCCATATTGTATCAGAGAGGTTCTGATGGGGTGTTCTGTAAGATACCTGTTCCAGATTGTATCATAGAGGTTCTGATGAGGTATTCTCTAAGATACCTGCTACAGATTGTATCAGAGAGGTTCTGATGGGGAGGTCTGTAAGATAACTGCTCCAGATTGTATCGGAGAGGTTCTGATGGGGTGTTCTGTAAGATACCTGCTCCAGATTGTATCAGTGAGGTTCTGATGGGATGTTCTGTAAGATACCTGCTCCAGATTGTATCACAGAGGTTCTGATGGGATGTTCTCTAAGATACCTGCTCCAGAGTGTATCACAGAGGTTCTGATGGGCTGTTCTCTAAGATACCTGCTCCAGATTGTATCAGAGAGGTTCTGATGGGGTGTTCTGTAAGATACCTGCTCCAGATTGTATCGGAGAGGTTCTGATGGGGTGTTCTGTAAGATACCTGCTCCAGAGTATATCAGTGAGGTTCTGATGGGATGTTCTCTAAGATACCTGCTCCAGATTGTATCAGAGAGGTTCCGAGTGGATGTTCTGTAAGATACCTGCTCCAGATTGTATTAGTGAGGTTCTGATGGGATGTTCTCTAAGATACCTGCTACAGATTGTATCAGAGAGGTTCTGATGGGATGTTCTCTAAGATACCTGCACCAGATTGTTTCAGTGAGGTTCTGATGGGATGTTCTCTAAGTTCCCTGCTCCAGATTGTATCAGAGAGGTTCCGAGTGGATGTTCTGTAAGATACCTGCTCCAGATTGTATCAGTGAGGTTCTGATGGGGTATTCTTTAAGATACCTGCTCCAGATTGTATCAGAGAGGTTCTGATGGGCTGTTCTGTAAGATACCTGCTCCAAATTGTATCGCAGAGGTTCTGATGGGCTGTTATCTAAGATACCTGCTCCAGATTGTATCAGTGAGGTTCTGATGGGATGTTCTCTAAGATACCTGCTCCAGAGTGTATCACAGAGGTTCTGATGGGCTGTTCTCTAAGATACCTGCTCCAGATTGTATCAGAGAGGGTCTGATGGGCTGTTCTGTAAGATACCTGCTCCAGATTGTATCAGTGAGGTTCTGATGGGGTATTCTGTAAGATACCTGCTCCAGATTGTATCAGAGAGGTTCTGATGGGCTGTTCTGTAAGATACCTGCTCCAGATTGTATCGGAGAGGTTCTGATGGGCTGTTATCTAAGATACCTGCTCCAGATTGTATCAGAGAGGTTCTGATGGGATGTTCTTCAAGATACCTGCTCCAGATTGTATTTTTTGTATGACAGATAACAAGGCCAGGGAGGAACACCTAGCCCTGTACGTACTGAAACACTGGGAGGAGATCCCCAAAGTGGGGCGTAAACTGGTACCAGAACACGTGGAGACCCGGCCATTGTATAACCCGGAAAAACCTGGCATCGAACAGGTAATGTACAGACTGAGAATGGTGTATTTTAATTAAATATTTTCTTATTTTAAGTTATATATTATACCCTACTTTTAACTGCCTCCTCTATACAGTTGCATTTCTCTGCCCTCCATCTTTTTGGTTTATCCATCTCTATATATATATGGCTGAAATATTTGTACATGTCACCAAAACCTACATTTCTTCAATACCTTGCCCTAAAAGTGGACAATAACTATGTCACATTTATTTGTTTTAGGAAGAAGGTGTTTTTTGTTTGATGAAGTTTAAAGAAAGATGAGATTGTGCATAATATTAATTTTGTTTTTTATTCAACATTTGATTGGAAATGTTATCAAATTAAAATTGAAACCTGTTGCTAGTAGAATGTGCCTTGTTTATTTTTTAACATGTGATTTTAATTAAAAATAGGAAAAGTATTGAACGGTTAGAGGTAATCTTTGTTGACAAATTTCCAGGTATATTAATCTGTTTCTATTTACGATGTCTAACATGACATCGATTTGTCCGTCATGATCTATTGCTACAGTTTTAGTTGTCTATAAGCCTTCTTTTGGACACCAGTTCCTCATTTGTGATTCTCAGCAGGGTTTTAGGCGCTAATGTGTCAAAGTGTCCCCTTATATAGATCTGTATTAGGGGGACAGGTCAACGGAAACAGGAGAAGGTGTTACCTAGTGGTGACAACACTTGTCAAATGTCACCAGGGCTTTGTCATTCTCACTCGGCACAGTCTTACTCTCATTACAGCAGAATAAAAATGGCGGTGTCCAGAAAATATTAAATTGAAGTGGGAAAATGTTGAAGTGATGGTTTATTACAACCATGAAATTAAATTTTGAGAAATGGTGGTTTGTTATAATTATCACTTTATATCCGGCCAGACTTCAAATAAATGTTGTTTTCATGATCCCAGGGTCAGGTTTGGACTAAAGGTTGTTTTTGTCCCCATGGTCAGGTTTGGACTAAAGGTTGTTTTTGTCTCCAGGGTCAGGTTTAGACTAAAGGTTTTTTTTGTCCCCATGGTCAATTTTGGACTAAAGGTTGTTTTTGTCCCCAGGGTCAATTTTGGACTTAAGGTTGTTTTTGTCCCCAGGGTCAGGTTAGACTAAAGGTTGTTTTTGTCCCCAGTGTCAGGTTTGGACTAAAGGTTGGGTTTTTTGTCCGCAGGGTCAATTTTGGACTAAAGGTTGTTTTTGTCCCCAGGGTCAGGTTGGACTAAAGGTTGTTTTTGTCCTCAGGGTCTTGTTTGGACTAAAGGTTGTGTTTTTTGTCCCCAGGGTCAGGTTTGGACTAAAAGGTTATGTTTTTTGTCCCCAGGGTCACATTTGGACTAAATGTTGTTTATGTACTCACGGACAGGTTTAGACTAAAGGTTGGGTTTTTTTCCCCCTACGGTCAGGTTTAGACTAAAAGGTTGGGTTTTTGTACCCCACGGTCAGGTTTAGATGTTTTTTTTGTCCCCAGGGTCAGCTTTAGACTAAAGGTTGGGTTTTTGAACCCCACGGTCAGGTTTAGACTAAATGGGGGTTTTGTCCCCAGGGTCAGGTTTAGACTAAAAGGTTGGGTTTTTGAACCCCACGGTCAGGTTTAGACTAAATGGGTTTTTTGTCCCCAGGGTCAGGTTTAGACTAAAAGGTTGGGTTTTTGTACCCCACGGTCAGGTTTAGACTAAATGGTTTTTTTGTCCCCAGGGTCAGGTTTAGACTAAAGGTTGGGTTTTTGTCCTACGGTCAGGTTAAAACTAAATGTTGTTTTTGTCCCCAGGGTAAAGTTGAGATGTGGGTGGATATGTTCCCCATGGATATGCCTGCCCCTGGGCCGCCCGTCGACATCAGTCCAAGAAAGCCAAAAAGGTAATCCATTCAATGTTTACTTGAACAAACGTTTATTTCTAGCATTCTTTTATAGATATTAATCCAATATTTTCTGTTTTCTGTCCATTTCTTTACATTAAATAAATACTTATGAGTTATCAATTTATTTTCAACGTGTTCGTTCGAAAATGGTTACAATATTTACCAAATTGTAGATCATTGTCTTCTTTTACACTCTGTAATATTTATCAACTGACTCTACATTTCCTTTACAGCTACGAGTTGCGGTGTATTATTTGGAACACCGACGATGTGGTCCTTGAAGATGATGCTTTTTTCACCGGTGAAAAAATGAGTGACATCTACGTGAAGGGATGGATCAAAGGCCAAGAGGACATGCAGAACACAGACATTCATTACAGGTTGGTCAAGGTCATACAATCGCTACAGCTATATCAAAGGTCATACACTCTCTACAGCTAGAGTTAGTTTAAATGGCATACACTAATTGCAACTAAATAACATTGATATAATTTGTTACAGGTAGGCGAAAGGTCATAAGTTTAAAACAGCCACTTCCTATTACATCTATATGACAGGTTTGATACAACAATTGTAGGTCAAAAGATGAAAAGAACAGACAGGTCAAAGTTCAGTAGCACCTTTACATTCATTTAAAGAATGGCAATAGCATGAAGAGGTCAAAGGTCAGTAGCGACATGGCTAGGACCTATGGGTGCGGTTAAGCTGTAGAACTAGCAGTTGGGATACTGTGATAACAATCAGAAAACACAGGTCATTATATGCAAGGAAAAAGATCATTATGTATATTTCACTGATTGCCGAAAGATTCATACAACTTTGGCAAATGTACATTGCTCATTGACACGAGCTTTCATCACAGCAATGATTAGTTTGTAACTGACACGTGGAGGAGTCGTCTGACAGAGGTGGAGAGTGAGGTGTTCTGGTGTACACACTGTGTGTCCCCATCACCAGTATAGATACAGACTGTGGCCCTGTAATGTAGAAGGCTGTACCTGGACATTCCCCATATCCATTTCTAACACCATAGACTTGGCGGGTGAAGTTCTGAGGGGGAGTGCCCAGACGACCGAGCTACATGTCCCTGTATTTAGTCTAAGGGGAAGGGTTGATGATGCTAACATTGTCAGGGGTTCAGAGGGGAACAGTTTGATTTGGTACCAAAAGACCAAGGGTGCTGGGTTTCTATGGAGAACTTCCCTGACAATCGACCATCAGAAGACAGAACTGTGTAGTACTAATGAGTCGAGGTCTCACATCTTCCTCCTGTATCTCGTACTGTCCTTTCATCAATCTGCTGTACTGTCATTGTCTTCAGGCCATACTGTATCCCATCTCATGTTCTTACAATTTTGTATACATTTCTCAGTGTACTTTAACATTGGTCAATTTCGTAGAAGATTTTATTAAAATTGGTCAAGTATTTAGTATAACTCATGCAATCTGTGAACATTTTGTAAAACTGAACAAAATGACAAAAAGAAAAACAGAAAGATACCATCTTGTTTAATCTATATGAAACTGACACCAGATAGTTGTGAAAAGTAATTTATATCAATCTTATATAACTGGTATGGGTTTGAAAAGAAAAAAGAAAAAGAAGATTTAACAACAACAGGATTTTTGGGAATTTTAAAATGATGTATTCCATTAAGACTATTTCAATTTGAATGTGTGCTATAAGTTTGGTGATATGTGTTTAAGGGCCCCCGTCCAGTTGTAGAAATAGAATCATTTTATAAGTTAGTCACCAGTATCATCATTTAGAACATACTTGTCAAGTCTATTTATTAGGACAGGAGGCCACATTTGTGCTATTCAAATCAGCAAAGTTCCATACATCTCACATTTTACTCAAGTTCAACTGATTCCTTGTATGCTGAAACATTTTCCACATAGTTTTTATCCTGTGAACATTTGAAAGGATGGAAATTACGTTGGTGACATAATTTTGAGATTTTTGTGTGATTTCGACACTTAATTTCCTTATATTCCTTGTCTTTAATCCCAAAAAATATTATCAACAGGTTATGAAAAATTAATAAAAACTAATTTCTTAGAATTTTTTGTAAGATGAATCCTTAGGGCTTCAAATAAATGACCGACCTTGTCAATTTCTGTGGGCTTTTTTCTACCTGTTCCTGATGGTTCATTCTCTAGACCTATTGAGGACTGGAGTAACGAGGGAAGGTAAAGGTACAGATCATCGTCTACCTGACTTTATAACATTTGGTGACCTGGATTTACCTTTCACCTGAACTGGCCAGCTCACCTGGTGGGTGGGAGACGAGGTTGACACACCTGAGGTACTATTAATCAGCCATAAGTCGTCAATAAACCCAAACCATCACAATGGTGCCCTCCCTCTTTACAACAGCAGTCATGTCCAAACTCCGCATGGAGAATGTCGGCCATGTTTTTTATCGGTTTCATTTTGCTGTCACCTGCCAGGGTCACTAATTGTGGCGTCCAGCTACAAGAAAGCGTTTACAATGTGTCCTTTAATTTATGGATTCCAAAGTAAGACTGACCACCTTGTGATCTTCCTGTATCTTTTCAGGGATTTTCCAACATCAAACTTGGACATGACGCTTGTCACAAATTTCCTGTTTCTACATGTACAGTGAAACCTGATTTCACTGACACCTGCTTATTAAGATCCTGAAATATCTGACATGCTATGATATTTTGCCAAATACCCTTATCAATGTTGGTATCAGGAATGCTCAGGGATTTAAAGAACATATCAAAATATCTATATATCTAAGTAAGCAAATACCAGTTATTAAAATTTTATGAACAATGTGTTTCCAGTAAAGTTAGAAGCAGATGGTTTGGTGGGATGTGTCAACGGTTTTCCAAATCGTTTCAGTGCAAAAGTCTGAGTCAAATAGTTTTAGTATATGGTTGAATGAAAATGTACAATGAATAAATCATTATTTTTTCTATTGTAGAGTGTTTTAAGTCCAGGTACACTTAGGGTTCAGGTAATATTAGATACTGGATTCATGTAAAATCATGATTGTATGGCAACGCGTTTGTTTTCTAATTTTATTGTGATCGGTACTGTGATGTGGAAGAAAAGGAATAAAAAATATTCAAATTAAAAAAAAAAGATGTGAACACTGATTTTAAAATAATTTGAAATACATTAAAATCAAACATATTTTGTATTTTCAATAAAGGCATCGGAATTACGTATCTGGCAATAAGTCCATGCCTGATAGCATGCCAACCTGTATATATTACAGTTTAGTAAAAATGCCAACAAATGTAATTTCTTTGGTAATACCCACCTTCCTACGTCAAGTCAGAGATTATTTGGTGGTCCCTGGGCTTATTGAAGGGTAAATATGGTATAAACAAAGGCTTGATTGGAGGATAAATATGGTATAAACAAAAGCCTCATTGGAGGATTAATATGGTATAAACAAAGGCCTCATTGGAGGTTAATTATGGTATAAAGAAAGGCCTCATTGATGTAAATATGGTATAAACAATTGCCTCATTGATGTAAATATGGTATAAACAATGGCCTCATTGATGTAAATATGGTATAAACAATTGCCTCATTGATGTAAATATGGTATAAACAATGGCCTCAATGGAGGATAAATATGGTATAAACAAAAGCTTAGCTCATTGGAGGGAAAATAAGGTATAAACAAAGGCCTTATTGGAGGATAAATATGGTATAAAAAAAAGCCTAGCTCATTGGAGGGTAAATAAGGTATAAACAAAGGCCTCATTGGAGGGTAAATATGGTATAAACAAAGGCCTTATTGGAGGATAAATATGGTATAAAAAAAAGCCTAGCTCATTGGAGGGTAAATAAGGTATAACCAAAGACCTAATTGGAGGGTAAATATGGGATAAACAAAGGCCTTATTGGAGGATAAATATGGTATAAACAAAGGCCTCATTGGAGGGTAAATATGGTATAAACAAAGGCCTTATTGGAGGATAAATATGGTATAAAAAAAAGCCTAGCTCATTGGAGGGTAAATAAGGTATAAACAAAGGCCTTATTGGAGGATAAATATGGTATAAACAAAAGCCTAGCTCATTGGAGGGTAAATAAGGTATAAACAAAGGCCTCATTGGAGGGTAAATATGGTATAAACAAAGGCCTTATTGGAGGATAAATATGGTATAAAAAAAAGCCTAGCTCATTGGAGGGTAAATAAGGTATAAACAAAGGCCTTATTGGAGGATAAATATTGTATAAACAAAAGCTTAGCTCATTGGAGGGTATATATGGTATAAACAAAGGCCTCATTGGAGGGTAAATATGGTATAAACAAAGGCCTTATTGGAGGATAAATATGGTATAAACAAAAGCTTAGCTCATTGGAGGGTATATATGGTATAAACAAAGGCCTCATTGGAGGATTAATATGGTATAAACAAAGACCTAATTGGAGGGTATATATGGTATAAACAAAGGCCTCATTGGAGGGTAAATATGGTATAAATAAAGGCCTCATTGCAGGATAAATATGGTATCAATAAAGGCCTAGCTCATTGGAGGGAATATATGATATAAACAAAGGCTTCATCGATGTAAATATGGTATAAACAAAGGCCTCATCGGAGGATAAATATGGTATAACCAAAGACCTAATTGGAGGGTAAATATGGTATAAACAAAGGCCTCATTGGAGGGTAAATATGGTATAAACAAAAGCTTAGCTCATTGGAGGGTAAATATGGTATAAACAAAGGCCTCATTGGAGGGTAAATATGGTATAAACAAAAGCTTAGCTCATTGGAGGGTAAATAAGGTATAAACAAAGGCCTTATTGGAGGATAAATATGGTATAAACAAAGGCCTCATTGGAGGATAAATATGGTATAAACAAAGGCCTAATTGGAGGGTAAATATGGTATAAACAAAAGTCTAGCTTATTGAAGGATAAATATAGTATAAACAAAGGCCTCATTGGAGGGTAAATATGGTATAAATAAAAGCTTAGCCCATTGGAGGGTAAATATGGTATAAACAAAGGCCTTATTGGAGGATAAATATGGTATAAACAATGGCCTCATTTGAGGGTAAATATGGTATAAACAAAAGTCTAGCTTATTGAAGGATAAATACAGTATAAACAAAAGCCTAGATCATTGGAGGGTAAATATGGTATAAACAAAGGCCTCATCGGAGGATAAATATGGTATAAACAAAATACTAGCTCATTGGAGGATAAATATGGTATAAACAAAGACCTCATCGGAGGATAAATATGGTATAAACAAAGGCCTCATTGGAGAGTAAATATGGTATAAACACAGGCCTCATTGCAGGGTAAATATGGTATAAACACAGGCCTCATTGCAGGGTAAATATGGAATAAACAAAGGCCTCATTTGAGGATAA